TGAGTTCACCGAACCGCAGCGAGCCCTGCTCGCCAGCTGCGCTGTCCAGCGATCTGTGCATGCACAGATCGCCCAAACCCGGTTCTTCCGGGTTGCAATCTACTCACCACAGGCAAGTAGATTGTATTATTTGTTGAGCCCTGGTTATTCCAATAGGAAGGAGAACAGCTGTGCTAATCAGGTTCCAGCAGAGCTTGCATTCAAGAAAAGCAAGCCAAAAACAATTTCATACTGCATTTCAGAAGTTAACAGAGAAGATAACACAGACGTTAGAACCACTTAGAAAAAAGGGGGCTCAGGGAAACACAATCACTTCACTGTACTTACTTTAAAAAGACATCATAATTTAAAGGGAAATTCAGGATTCATCACCAACTACCATGCAGAGGAAAAAAATTAGGCTATTGGAGTTCTTTGAAAAATCTGAAAACATGAAAAAACAAAGGTACAATTATACCTTCTCCAGCTGAAACTTATTTAAGTTGATTAATTGTGCAGTGGAAGTAGCAAAATTGCTTTAGCAAGTGTTATTTTTCTAACTTTCTGTCATTCTTAGCCAAGCTGCTTACCACTCGTTTACTAGAATGTGATTCCATTTTGATATGTAATAATGGGTGGAGAGAAACAGCATGTCATGGATACTATGAAGATTCTCATTCTGTAGCATAATAATACCCCACAGAATAGTGAGAGCTGTTGATAACTATTGCCGCATATTTATCTAAACAAAAGCTCACTGTTGTAATTATTGTGTTGCTCCTGTTATTTACTTGACAAGGATTTGTAAATTTGCTAAAATGCCCTAAACAAATGCTTTCTTAAAAAATCTGGTGGAAATTTCTTGAAACATCAGAGTCTAATGTCTAGTTACCAGCTCATTTTCCCTAAAATTATCACTTAACCACCGAAACATTGGCTCTTGAATTTATATCATTAATATAAATCACAGATCCAAGGATTGATTTACAAAAAATCACCAAAGAAATAATCAGAGTATCCTTGGAACAGATGAAGAGTTTTGGGTAAATCCTCTAGCACTTATGATAGGATGCCATGGTTTTATCGTATATGTGCTAATTATTTCAATACATCTCTCCTTCCCCATTGAAATTGCAGTGGAGGTCTAGGTTGGCTATTAGGAAAAATTACTTTACTAGGAGGATGGCGAACCACTGGAATATGTTACCTAGGGAGGTGGTGGAATTTCCCTCTATAGAGGTTTTTAAGTCCTGGCTTGACAAAGCCCTGACTGGGATGATTTAGTTGGGATTGGTCCTGCTTTGGGCGAGGGTTTGGACTCCAACTCTTCCAACCCTATGATTCTTAAGAACAAATGAATGGTCATACTGGGTTAGGCCAGTGGTCTTTCTAGCCCAGTATCCTGTCTTACATCAATGGCCAGTGCCAGATCTTTTAGAGAGAATGAACAGAACATGGCAATTATGAAATGATCTATCTGTTCCCTATTGTAAGAGATCCCTTTGTAACTCTTCACATTTTCTTTTGCTCTTCTTGGTGCGTAGGCTTAAAAAAAAGAGATATTATCTACATTTTTTATCACATGCAGGAATAACCCCTAGTAAAGTAACCCACTATTAGTAAAGATGTTGGCGAAACACAAAATATATCAGCTAACAAGTCAGTTTATCCGGGTCTTTGTTTTTATTATATAACATTTAATTTGATCAAACATTTCAGCGTACTTATATGGCCCCCACTACCATAGTATATGAGCATTTCAGAATCTTAAAAGCTTGATCCTCAACATCCTTGTGTAGCTGTTGTGCTATTATTCTATTTTATAAATGGGAATGGAAGTAGACAGAAACTGACTTACCCAAGATCACACAAGAAATCTGTGGCACAACAGGAAGATTAATCCACATCTCTCAAGTACCAGACCAGCATAAAAGCCATCGGACCATCTTTTCTCTCCTAACAGGGAAAAAATATGATATTCTATTCCCGGCATCTCAAACTCAATTTACCTTAGGGCCAGTGCCAGTCCTCAAATCCTCCTAATGGGCGAGAGAGGCATTCCCCTCTGGCAGGTCTGTGGGATGTGTCTGTGCCTACCCCCACCATGTGTCTCCTGGCCCATGCAATCGCACACCCTGACCCTGCTTGTAGCTCCCAGGCGGCCCCCTGGTGGCCTTCAGTGCCACCACCAGTAGCACAGCGGGGTTAGAGCAGCTTCTGGACCCATTTCTCTGTTGTAAGGCCCAAACAGCCTATTATGATTTGCCTGCCGAAGATGCAGCCAAGTACCCCTGGCTGAAGGAAGAAATCCCAGCCTGTTCAGGGATGCAGGCCCAGGCGGGTAAGCCATAAACTACAAGGTGCAACAGCCAGGGTGCCAGAAAGAAGAATGGAATTTCCATGTGAATCTCTTAAAACTTTGGCAACCCCAAGAGACGTGTGGTGACACAAGAGGTCCCAATCCAGGAAGACTCCTTACCCAAGCAGACCAAGATATCCTCTGAGCAGTCACCACGCCAGAAGAATGAAGTAGCAAAGATGATCAGCCAGTACCAGGAGTTATTCTCAAATAAGCCAGGCCGAATGACCAAGGCTTATCACATTACCACAAACCCTGAAATCAAGGTAACACTAATACCCTAACGAGTGCCAGGAGCAAAGAGGGAGGAAATTAGAGCCAAAGTAAAGATGTTGTTGGAGGTGGGAATCCCACAGTGAATGGTCTAGTCCAATTGTTTTGGTGCTAAGCCTAACAGCACCACTAGTTTTTGTAATGACATTAGGCAGTTAAATGAGGTATCCAAATTTGATGAACATCCCATACTCTGCACTGATGAGTTGGTGGACCACCTGAGCAATACATGTTTTCTAACTGCTCTCAGTTTAACAAAGGGTTATTGGCAGGTCCTTTTGGCCAAGGAGGCAAAAGAAAAAAATGGGTATACTGTTCCAGTATACTGTTCTCCCTTTCAGATTGCACAGGTCACCTGCCACCTTCGAATGTCTCATGAACAAGCTCCTATGCCCCTATATCAGTTATGTGGCAGCGTACCACACACTGTAATCATCTGTACACCTAACTGGGAGATTTACTGGAATCCATACACCCAACTAGGAGACTTACCTGGTGGAAGCAGTGTTGGATATCTTAAGGCAGGCTAACCAAGCCCAGGGTGCTATAGGCCAAAGCTAAATACTTTGGCTATATTGTAGTAAGGGAAGTAATTAAACCCCAAGCGAACAAGCTGTAGATCATCCAAAATCAGCCACAGCCAAACAGGAAAAAACAAGTCCAAGCATTCCTCGGTGTGGTGAAGTACTATAAACTATTAGTCCCCCATTTTGCTACCAAAGCAAATATCCCAATGGACCTGATAATATCCCAGGCTCCTGACATGGTGTAGTGGACCAGTGCAGTAAAGAAAACATTCATGGATCTACGTACAGCCCTCTGTAGTAATCCTATACTTATAGCTCCGTACATTAATAAGGAATTAATTCTGCAGACAGACGCATCTGAGGTAGGAGTGGGAGCTGCCCTCTCTCAGATGGCTGGAGATGAAGAACAACCAGTCTTCTACCTCAGTAGAAAACTCCTTCAGAGAGGGAAGAAATTTGCAGTGGTTGACAAAAAGTGTCTGGCTATAAAGTGGGCTATGGAGACACTCCAGTACTACACCTACTTGGCCGACAATTTATCCTCCTGACCGACCATCCATCCTTTCAACAGATGCAGCATAATGAAGAAAACACGAGAGTGACCTGCTGGCTTCTGTCCTTGCAACCTCTCCAATTCACCATATAAAATTGGGCTGGAAGATGCCATGGTAATGTGTCCTTTAAATCAGCTTCTGTACCTAATGACTGGAAGATAGCTAATTTGGCACCAATATTTAAAAAAGGGCTCTACAGGTGATCCTGGCAATTACAGACAGGTCAGTCTAATGTCAGCACTGGGCAAATTAGTTGAAACCATAGTAAAGAATAGAATTGTCAGACACATAGATTAACATAATTTGTTGGAGGAAGTCAACATGGTTTCTGTAAAGGGAAATCATGCCTTACTAATCTACTAGAGTTCTTTGAGGGGGTCAACAAACATGTGGACAAGGGGGATACAGTGGATATAATGTACATAGATTTCCAGAAAGCCTTTGATGAGGTCCCTCAGCAAAGGCTCTTAAGTAAGGTAAATTGTCTTGAGATAAGAGGAAAGGTCCTCTCATGGATTGATAACTGGTTAAAAGTCAGGAAACAAGGATAAGAATAAATGGTCAGTTTTCAGAATGGAGAGAGGTAACTAGTGGAGTCCCCCAAGGGTCTGTACTAGGACCAATCCTATTCAACCTATTTATAAATGATCTGGAAAAAGGGGTAAAAGTGAGGTGGCAAAATATGCAGATGATATTAAACTACTCAAGATAGTTAAGACCAAAGCAGACTGTAAAGACCTTCAAAAGGATCTCACAAAATTAGATGACTGAGCAATAAAATGGCAGATGTAATTCAATGTTGATAAATGTAAAATAATGCATATTGGAAAAAATATTCCCAACTATAACTACAAAATGATGGGGACTAAATTAGCTATTGCCACTCAAGAAAGAGATCTTGAAGTCACTGTGAGTAGTTATCTGAAGACATCCTCTCAATGGTGTAGGTGGAGCTTGGTCCTGCCTTGAGGGCGGGGGGCTGGACTCGATGACCTCTTGAGGTCCCTTCCAGTCCTATTATTCTATGATTCTATGTGCAACAGCAGTGAAAAAAGCAAACAGAATGTTAGGAATTATTAAAAAGGGATAGAGAATGAGACAGAGACTATCTTATTGCCTCTCTATAAAACCACGGTATGCACACATCTAGATTACTGTGTACAGATTTCGCCTCATCTCAAAAAAGATGTATTGGCATTAGAAAAGGTTCAGAAGAGGTAAACAAAAATTATTAGGGGTTTGGAATGGGTCCGATATGAAGAGAGATTAAAAAGACTGGGACTTTTCATCTTAGAAAAGGGAGTATATCATACAGATCTATAAAAATCATGATTGGTGTGGAAAAAGTGAATAAGGAAAAGCTATTTATTTGTTCCCTTTACATAAGAACTATGGGTCAGCAAGTGAAATTAATAGGTAGCAGATTTAAAAGAAACAAAAAGAAGTTTTTCTTCATGCAGCGCACAGTCAACCTGTGGAACTCCCTGCCAGAGCATGTTGAAGACCAGGACTTTAACAGGGTTCAAAAAAACCCCCAACAACCTAAATAAATTCATAGAGGCTAGGTCTATCAATGGCTATTAGCCAGGGAGATTAAGAATGGTGTCTCGAGTTTCAAAGGATGACAGGAGAGGGATCACGTGATGATTATCTCCCTCTGGGGCATCTGGCATTGGCCACTTTTGGAAGACAGGATTCTGGGCTAGATGGACCGATGGGCTATGTCTACATTGTCATGATCTTGCACAAATACTCTTTAACGCAAGAGTTTTTACGTTAAAAGTATTTGCGTAAGAGAGCATCTACACTGGCATGTGCTTTTGCACAAGAGCATCTGTGCCAGTGTAGACGCTCTCTTGCGCAAGAAAGCTCTGATGGCCATTTTAGCCATCGGGCTTTCTTGCACAATAAATTCATGTTGCCTGTCTACACTGGCCTCTTGCGCAAGAACAGTTGCACAAGAGGGCTTATTCCTGAGTGGGAGCATCACAGTTCTTGCGCATGAAGCATTGATTTCTCACATTAGAACGTCAGTGTTCTTGCGCAAGAACTCCCCACCAATGTAGACAGTGACTGCTTTTGAGCAAAATCATGCCAATGTAGACAGAGCCTTGGTCTGATTCAGTATGGCCTTTCTTATGTATGGTCTGTCATGAGTACATTGCATGATGTCTCATGTTGCCAACCCATGGTGTTGAGGGAAATGTGACAGGGTCAGGCCAGAAAGGTTCTAATCTAGAGAGTGGTAGAAGGACAGTATATTAACCCTAGACTGAGTAAGTCTCTGTATGCAGAGTGAACTAACAAGAGCTAATCCAGAACCAGAAGGAACCTTCTAGAATCAATCAGGCTAGTTGGGGCACCTGGAAACAATTGGCAGGTTTCCAGAGTCAACTGGGCAGGACTAATCAGAGCATCTGGGGTCAATTAAGAACTAGTTAAGACTGGTTAAAAAGAGCTCCTCTGCAGTTTGTTGGAAGCTCATGAGGAGTTTGGAGGATGGAAGGAGCCCAAGATGAGAGTGAGAGATGTCTGAGTGAAAGCTGGTGATCTGCAAGTAAGGCAGAGTGCCATGGAGGAGCAGGATAGGTTAGCTTAGGTACCAAAGGAAAGATACTGGGAGGGATTATTTGGGGAAGTAGCTGCCAGACTGGGAGCAGAAGAAACCTATGGCTACGTCTACACTGCTGGTTTTGCTGGCAGTGAGTATGCAAATGAGGTGAGGATTAGCATCTCACCATGCCTCATTTGAATAATTTATGCATGCCATTTTTGTGGGGGGAGTCCACACTACTTCCCCCCCTGCAAAAATGATGTGCATAAATTATGCAAATGAGGCAGTGATATGCTAATCTGCACCTCATTTGCATACTCATTACCAGCAGTGTAGACTAAGCCTATCTATTGCTGTTCCCCTAGCATCCCTGGTCCGGAACCTGGATTTCTACCAAACCCTCCCCACACTACCTGAGAGTCTGCCCCAAAAAGAGGAGACCAGGACTGTGCAGGGGTTTGGGGCTTAGTAGGCTGCAATCCTTGCCTCTAGTAAAGGGCAAGAGACTGTGTGGAGGGCCACAGCGAGCTTCTGAGGGAAACACTGTCCACCAGAAACAAAGGACCCACAGGGCACAGTTGGAGTATTGCCATAGCATCTGAACATCTTGCCAAAGAGTACATAAACCACAAAGGGTACTTCTTGATTGTGTTGCAGGCACTGGTGGATCACAAGGGCCATTTCATAGTCATCAACATGAGATGGTCCAAAAAGGTGCATGATGTGTGTATCCTTAGGAACTCCAGTCTCTTCAGAAAGCTGTAAAATAGAACTTTCTTCCCAGACTAGAAAATTACCATTGGAGACATTGAAATGCCAATACAAAATACAGGACTATGTAGCACTTTAAAGACTAACAAGATGGTTTATTAGATGATGAGCTTTCGTGGGCCAGACCCACTTCCTCAGATCAAATAGTGGAAGAAAATAGTCACAACCATATATACCAAAGGATACAATTTAAAAAAATGAACACATATGAAAAGGACAAATCACATTTCAGAACAGAAGAGGGATGC